TTCCTGCGCGGGCCTCCACGTGGCGGCGGGAAGCGGCCGGCGCATGGCCCCCTCGCTGGCGCGCGCCTTCCGCCGGCGCTGGTGGATGGCCGGCACCGCCGTGCTGGAGAACCTCTTCTTCTCCGCCGTGCTGCTGGGCTGGGGCTCGCTGCTGCTCATGCTCAAGCGCGAGGGCGTCTACGCCAGCCTGTGCCCGGGTAGGTGGCCGGGGGGCAGGCGGGCGGGCGGCGCGCAAGCGGACCGGGGTGTCCTGCTGGCGCCCGGACCCTGCGAATGAGAGCCTCCAGCCAGAGCAGTGGGTAGCTACACCTACCCAGGGCTCCTGCATGCCCAGCACTGGGGAGGCTGAGGCAGGAGAATTGCCAGTTCAAGGCTAGCCTGGGCTACCTACTGAGACCCTGACTCAAAACCCAAAACCCTGAACAAAGTAGAAGTGGGGCACCTAGCCGGGCGAGGAGTTTTGCTCTTTATTTCTTTGCAGTGCTGAGGGTCCGCCCCAGGCCCAGCCCCAGCCCCAGCCCCAGCTAGGGATTAAGAGACGGGGCACTTCCAAGGATCGTGAAAACAGACGGACGCTCCGCCCGGCTCTGCCCTCCGCGGGCCGCTGCTTTGCACAGCTGGAGCCCGCTCTCCCCGGGGTTGGACATGGGAAGGACTGCGCCTCCCGCGCCGGTGGCCTGGGCCTGTGGGAGTGGCCTTGCCGGAGGAGGGGTGGGTTGTGAGCTGTCTGCAGGGGCGGGGCAGGAAGGGGTCCCCCTTTCCGGGGCTCACAGGCATTGTGCTTTGCCGGGGAGGAGGGTACAGTGCGCCCACCGGGCTCACTGCCAGGAGCGGGTGCCCAGGCTGCCCCCCCCAGCCTCCTTCCCCCTCGGCCCGTGGAGAACGCGAGCGCTGAAGGGTCCGCTCTGGGGTCTGAGCCCCGGCGTCCGCACGCCGCCCGCCCCCCGCAGGGCGTCCCCAGTGTGCTCCTGGCTGGGCGCTGGGCTTCCATCCTCCGAGCTGAACGGGCAGAGGCCGGCTGTGGCCCTGGCTTGGGCAGTCCCCGGGCTGGGCTGCGGCTGTGGGGAAGGCCAGTTGCCCACGGCGGAGGCGGGAGGTCCTGATCTAACCGCACCGGGGGCCTGCCAGGGGTATCTGTGGGGAGGCGACAGGTGGCATTGACATGGCCTCCTGGCTGCCCCTGCTGGCCCCAACCCCAGGGCGGAGCAGTGGCCAGTGGGGAGGCTGAGGGCAGGAGATAGGGCCCCTGGGGGCCCCCGGCTGTCCCTGAGCCCGGGAGGGACCTGGCGCCTGCTGCCCAACGGCCTCGGTGGACCCCCACTGCTCCCCCCGGCTGGTGGGTCCCTCCCGTCTCCTCCAGCGGCAGAGGAAGATGAATTTACATCACCCATTTGGAGGAGGGCTGGCCAGTCGGCACAGTCCAGGGAGCATGGCCACAGTCACTGTTTAAAACGCTGCTGTCGCTGCACCCCCCCCCCCCAAAAAAAAATGCCTGCCTCCCCTTTCAGGGCCCATCTCCTCACCTGTGCTTTCAAAAAACGGTAGACAACTGACTAACTTACTTTCTTTTGGAGACAGGGTCCTCGCTGTGCAGTTCAGGCTGGCCTTGAGTTCATGTCAGTCCTCCTGCCTCAGCCTCCCAAGTGCTGAGATTACAGGCGTGTGCCTCTGTATTTGTTAATTTATTGTGCCTTCAAGGCCTCTGCCCTGCGCAGTGTGCCCTGTCCTGGTTTTAAATTCTGACAGTGTCTTGCTGAGGTTTCCTCCCAGCATCGGCCGTGACTCCGGGGGCTCGTGTCCCCGGCTGGCGGCCCCTCCTGCACTCATCCACTCTCGGACCGGGGCATGGTGTGCACCCCTCTCCCTCCCGGTCAGGCCTCTGGTGGACCCCAGGTGCTGCCCCTCCTGTCCCTGCCACGCTGCCCGAGTGCAGGTGCTTCTTGGCGTCCCGATCTGCAGCGACCCCGGGGCATGGACTCAGGCCAGCGACAGGAAGTTCGGCTTCCTGCTGGGGTGTGTGCTGGTCACGTGACTTGAGCCACATACCACGCGTGGGCGGAGGGACCCCTGGCCCCTCCAACCAGGGATGCCGCGGACAGGGACGGAGAGCAGACAGCTCCGATGTGCAGAGGGTGTGGGGACGCGGCCGCGGACCCAGCTCCCTCTCTGTGTCTTCTGAGTCTGTAAAACCGAGCGGACAGCTGCTCCTTACGGCTGCGGAACAACAAGAGTTCAGTGACGTCATTTAACCGACGTTACAAGGGCCCGACAACGTGGAGCTCATTACTGTGGGCGCCTTTGGTGTGGGCTTTGGGCTTCTTTGCCCACACTCCCTGTGTCTCTCAGGGCTTCCCTCCCGTCCCCTCCCCTTCCCTTCCTTCCTTTGTGGGGGGCGGTACTAGGGACTGAACTTGGGGCCTTCACACTGAGCTACAGCCCCCTCCCATTTTAAGAAACGTTTTATTCTGAGACAAGGTCTTGTAAGTCACTGTGCAGCCCAGCTCAAACTTGTGATCCTCCTGCCTCAGCCTCCCAGAGTGCTGGGATTACAAGCGTGCGCCAGCACACCCTCTCTTTTTTGACGTACACCGGGATGAGTGATTGATCCTCCTGTGAAGACATCAGAGCTCAGAATCTGAGCAGAGAGGTTTCAGTTGATCACTTGCTACTGCGTGTCCCAAGTTAAGTGCCGCAATGATCGAGCAGTCACTCAAGTTCATTAATCACTTGCTGTGTGCTGGTTAGAGCCGCAGGCCTCCCTGCGATCTGTGATGGGGCGTTGCTGCAGCTCCACTGTACAGAGGCGATGCAGAGCCGTGGACCGACACAGCGCATGCGCGCTTGAGAGGTGTTCTCAGCATCACTTCAGGGGCTAAGGAGGGAGACCGGCGAGGTGCGCAAAGAGGTACAGAGCGGGCTGCTGGAGCTGGCCTCTCTGGGCAGTGCACGCTGTCGGCCTTCACAGGCGGGGCAGTGGCGGAGCCCCCGAGACCTCGCACAGCTGTGGGGCCAGGGTGGACCCTGACAGAGGTGGCTGCTTAGGCAAGATCTGCCCCCGCGGTGTTTCTCACACCTGGTCCTCTGCAGCCTTGGTCCGACTTTCTCTTTTCTGTGTGCACAGGTGTTATTTACAGTTGCTGGGTGTGGTGGCGCACACCTGTAATCCCAGCACCTGGGAGGTTGAGGCTGAGGCAGGAGGATTGTGAGCTCAAGACCAGCCTGGGCTACAAAGTGAACTCAAGGCCAGCCTGAACTGCACAGTGAGACCCTGTCTCAAAACAAAATCAAAAAAGCCAAAAAATAAATAAAGTGCAGTAGCCTTGAAGTCTTGGGTTTGATGCTAGAGACCCACAGCGTTTCTGTGGGTGCCTCAAGCTCTCCCATAACCACACACCACCCCGTCCGCCCAGCTGCCCCCTCCTGCCCCTCAGCCCATGTCACCCACAATTTGTGGGCCTCTCTCCGAGAGTGATCCCCAGGGGAGAGATGTTTTCATTCTGTATCTCGAAGCCAAAGATGAGACCGAAGCTTTAAAAGGAGATGAAAGTGTACTTAGTGGCCAGTGAGCGGAGAAACGGAAGTGCCGGTTTTAGGTTCTACCCATCGGGGGTGGAAGCACCTCGCAGAGAAGATAAAGGAGTGGAGGGAAGGTCTTTCACCAAGTTGCCCAGGCAGCACTCGAATTTAAAATCCTCCTGCCTCAGCCTCCCAGAGTGCTGGGATGACAGGCGTGGGACTGATTTCTTCTCGCTTGTTTCATGGCTTTTTTGAGCCACCATCATGACAGTTGTCAATGGTTACGGCGCCAGGGGTGGGATTATATGACGTCAGAGGTCATTTGGCAGTAGCTCTGGTGGTAGCCAGCTGCCTTTGAGTAGCCCAGTGGGAGAGGAAATTTTGGCCTCTGACATCCTGTCCTCCACAACAAACAAGATGCGGGCGGGGTAGAAATCCCCCTGGGTCATAAACACATTCTCCCGGTCCCGCCTGCCCTGGCCGGTCTGTGGGAGCTGGAGGTGGAGTGGCTCTGCTCCCCGTGCCATGTCAGCTGGAGTGGGGACCATTTTAGTCCTTTTATTTGCAATGTTAGGGATGGACACCCACAAATCTTTTTAAAATTTTTTATTTTGAGACAAGATCTCACTAGGTCGATTAGTTGCCCAGGCTGAGCTCCATCTTTCGATCCTCCTGCCTCAGCCTCCCAGAGCGCTGTGATTGCAGTGCACTCCTCCACGCTGGTTTGCATTCACTTTTTAGGGTGTGGCGAGCGTCACATGAGGTTCCACGTGGAGAAGCTGGTGTTCGTTGCCAGCTAGCGGGCCCTGTCATTTCACAGCGGAAGACTTAGGGGCCGGGATGACGTCTGATCAGGGGCTTCCCGTCCCAGTGCAGGTTAAGGCTGGGCAACGATAAGGCCTGGGTCAGCAGAGCCGAGGGTCCCACCCGGAGATGGCCAGGCCTGGGCGGGGAGGGGACCTCCACCAGCGTGTTGTGGCCAGATCTTCCTGACTGTTTTTGAGATGGGGTCTTGCTACACTGTCCCAGCTGACCTCCGACTCTTGGACTCGGGGACCCTGCCTGCCTCAGCTGCACCCAGCTAACTTGGTAAAGATGCAGCAGTCTGGATTTTTATGCGCTATCTCCTGAATTTAAACTGCTGTCCAATTACAACTAACAGCGCTTCAGGGGCAACCCTGCCAGCCAAGCAAAGCACGGGAGGGGCTGCCAGGCGCCTGCGAGCCCGTGTCTCTCCACCTCTTGCTTTGCCTGTGTCCCAGCACGGGGCTGAAACCCAGCAAGCGTCCAAGAGTTTGCAGAGAATGAGTAAACCCCGGTGGGGATGTGAGCAGCCACCCTGAAGATCGCTGTTACCCGCAAAGCTGTGCCGTCCGAGCCCCAGCTCTCCCCCCGGGTGGCGGCCGGCACCTGTGTGCGGCACCCCTGCCCCAGAGAGCGAGGCTGCCTTCTCTCCCGTGCTGACGCACAGACCCTCTTACCGTGGCGCCTGGGGCTCTTCCAATCAGCCTCCACTGTTTCCTGTCCCCTGGAGCCAGAGCTTCCTGTCTGTACCCCTGTCTCCTTGGTCACTTCTGCAGCCCCGGGCGGAATCTCTATCCACTGGCCTGAGCTTGGCCTGCCCCTCCTTGAGCTCCTGAGGCTGTGGTGGGAACAGAGAGCCTGTTTGCCCGCCCCGGGAGCACCCTGAGTTTGCCCTGGGTAACACTGGGAAACGGAAGGCAGTGGTAGGGACAGCTGCAGTGCCTCGGCCAAGCCGTCCTCTGTCCCACTGCCCCAGGCTGCGTTTACCTCGGGGCAGAGTTCAGGCGGGCCCTGGAGGGCAGGGGCTCAGCCGCACGTCTGAGGATGGGAACACTTGTTCCTCAGCGCACTTTTGGGCTGCTGTGACCTGTGATAGGGATCCGATAGGACAGGGCCTGACAGCAGAGCGCTCCGTGAACTGACTCTTCCCCGGGAAAGCGTCCGGTGTGGACCGAGCGAATTCTCGTGCTGTGCATTAGGGCCCTGCTCCTGGGCTTTGCCTTTCAGTTGGGGTGCTCCCTATCGGGCGTCCACGGCCCCCCAAGCTTGGACACAAAGGGACCGTTATGACTTGTAAATACTTCGATGCCGTTGTTGCATTTGAGCTGGGTTTGTGGTTTTGCTTTGATACTGGGATTGGACCAGGGCCATTGCTCCAAGCCACATCCCAGCTCTTGTTTTAGTTCTGTATTTTGAGACTGAGTCTCATGAAGTTGCTGAATTGCCAGGCTGGGCTGGAAATTTCGATCATCCTGCCTCAGCCTCCTGGAAGGCTGGGATTAAAGGTGTGTGGCACCACACCCAGCTCTCCCGTGGGGTTGTGCAGGCCCAGGCTGAGGTGACCCTCCTATTTATGGAGCAGCACCCCCCACATCAGCCTGACTGCAGGACCCCAGCCGGGCCGCCGCCTCCGGCGCCGCTCCCCTGCCCTGTGCTGACCCCTCCCCCACAGCCGAGAACTCCAGCAATGCCACCGGCGACGCGCCGCGCCCCTGGCCCAGCTGTGACCGGCAGGACGAGATGCTCAACCTGGGCTTCACCGTGGGCTCCTTCCTGCTGAGCGCCACCACCCTGCCCCTGGGGATCCTCATGGACCGCTTTGGCCCGAGGCCCCTGCGCATGCTGGGCAGGTGAGACGGCGGGCCTGCGAGCTGGGGGCTGCTGCAGGGCAGGGGCGGGGAGCGCTCGCGCCAGCGCCACGCCCTTCTGTGTCCCTGCAGCGCCTGCTTCGCAGCCTCCTGCGCCCTCATGGCCGCGGCCACCCAGGACCCTGAAGGTGAGCCGCTGGCCTCCGGCCTGCGCTGGAAGAGCCCGCTGGTGGAGGCTCACAATGACCTCAGCCCCACACCCTCCTCTGCCTCCTCCCCACCCAGCCCTGTCCCCGCTGATCTTCCTGGCGCTGTCCCTGAACGGCTTCGCTGGCATCTGCCTCACGTTCACGTCGCTCACGGTGAGTGGGGCGGCTGCCCGCCCGGGGGGCGCTCCATAGGCGCAGGCGGGGTGCAGGGCGACACTTGCACGTGGCAGCGGAGGGAGGGGCAGGCAGTGTCCGCCTGGACGACAAGCGTGCGTGTGTGCGTAGGCATGTGCGCTGCACTCACACACGGCGCCCGCGCGTGCCCCACGAGCTCTCTCTAGGCACGGGGACTCCGCAGCACAGACAGGCACCACGTCCTCGTCTTCCAGGAGCTCGTGTTTCGGGCTAGGGCGCGCAGCCAGCCCCGGAAGCAGCAGACTAGCACGTCTTGTCAGTGGTCCAGGCTGGGGAGAGCTGGGGCACGGGCCGGGGGTGGGGCCGGCCGTTGCAGGGGTGCCCGCGGGCTGGGCCCGGCCTGCGGCTGCGGCTCTGCACGGCCCACCTGCCCGCGCGCGGGCGTTTACGTGTGAGTGTAAGGGTTAAAGGCCTGGGCGGGTGGCCGGGTGGGGAAGGGAAGGCTCCCGCCCCGGCCTGCTCAGGGTTGTTTATCTCTGATGCGGCCAAACTGGGTGTTTGGCTGTTTCTCCTCTCCCCAGCAGCCGCCTTTAATTCCAGTGGGGACATTTCACAACTCTGAGGAAGCGGATCCTCTCCTACCCGCCCCTCTCAGCAGCCCCAGCCGGCTGTGTAACTTGGCTCAGCTCCTAAATCCTTTCTCCCTGGCCGGAGGCTTGACCTCGGACCCTGCCCTGGCCGGTTGCAGCCCGTGGCGGCTCCGCCCACCACTGTAATCTCCAGCCAACCATAGGGCCTGGTGACGGCCCCACCCAGCCCCACCCCTCGTTGGCCCCGCCCAACTTCTCTTAAGCCACGCCCACACTGTCAGCTCCACCCCTGGGCTGTAATCTCCAGCCAATAGTAAAGCCTGGTGTGGCCCCGCCCCACCCCACCCTTTAGGGGCCCCTCCCCTGCTGACTGTAGGCTGTAATCTCTAGCCAATAGTAGGGCCTGGTGCCGGCCCCGCCCCACCCCACCCCTGGCAGGTCCCACCCCCCGCCAGTAGCTCCTTTCCCACTGGATATCCATTGGTAACAGTGCCACCTGCGTGGGTGCCACCTGCCGCCCTTCATGCTCCCAGCATACCGGTCAGTGCATTGCTAGCCGGGCCAGCCTCGCCCTCCCCAGGCCCTGGGCTGAGGCAGTGCCCCGGGACCTTTGGCAGGCAGAGGTCCCTGGCCTGGCGCTCAGAGCTGCTGCCTTGGCAGACAGAGGGCGAAGGCTGACAGCTGCCCGGGGCCTCCCTCCCTCTCCCATCTGTGTCTAATCACCTTCCCTCTCAGCTATTTGATTTTAAAAAATTAATCAGTGTTCTGAGGCAGGATCTTGCTGGGTAGTGCAGGCTGGCACTTTGCAGCCCAGGCTGGCCTAGAACTCACTGTGCTCCTCCTGCCTCAGCCTCCCGAGTGCTAGGATTGCAGGCATGCGCCACCACACCCTGCTTCTCAGAGCTCTCTGAGCTCCCTGTACTGAGCCTCAGTGTCCTGCGGGGAGGAGAATGGGTTATGTGTGGCGTCTAAGGTCCGGCCCAGGTGACCAGGGAAGGATGGAGGGGTGTGACCCGGGTCGTGGGGACTTGGCTTCCCTCCCGGGCTGGGCTCCCGCCTCCCCAGCCCTCTGCAGGCTCTGTGCTGCTTCCCTAAGAACTGGGCCGTGGGGCTTGGGCTCGCAGGAGGGTCAAGAGCACCAGCAGCAGGGAGCTGCAGAGTCGTCACCGGCACGGTCTCGGCGGGGCCGGGCGCAGGGCCCGTCCTCCATGCTGACTGGACGTGGGCCCACTTCTTCCTCATCCGTGACACCTTGGGACCAGACAGTGCTGCTCAGCACCTGCTCAGTGTGCCCCCAGGGGGCATCACGCGGCCAGGGCGCTGGGGCTGGCACCGGGCTCATCTCATGGGCAGAGTGCAGGAGACCCAGGACCCCCGGAAGGTAGAGGGCCCCATAAACACCTCACTTGGGCAGTCCTAGCATGAAAGGTACCAGCCACTCGTGGGCCGGGCGAGCGTGGGCACGGAGTGTCGCAGGGCAGAACCCAGTTCCCCACGGACTTTCCTGGTGAGTTTTCTGCGGAGACTCCGGGGCTGTTGTCCCCAGCGCTCACGTTGAGAGCCGCAGGCTCCCCGGGGCACAGGGGCAGGGGAGCTCCAGTGGCGCTGGTGGCAGCCTGCTCACGGCCGTTTCCTTCCCAGCTGCCCAACATGTTCGGGAACCTGCGCTCCACCTTCATGGCCCTCATGATCGGCTCCTACGCCTCCTCTGCCATCACCTTCCCGGGCATCAAGGTACAGATCTGGGGCAGCCGGGCCCCCTGGGCTGAGCCGGCCCTGGCTGGGACGGGGGAGTGGCGGCCTTCGCGGCCTGGCCCTGCCTGTGGGCCTCCGCTCTGCCTCAGTCCTGCCCAGCTTCCTCCCCAGGGCCGCAGGTTCCCGCTGCTCTCCTGCCTCCAATCAGTGCTCATGTTGTTAGAGGGTCTTGGGGAGTTGTTTCTTGGTGTCTTGAGCAAAGAACTAAGCAGGACACTGAGAAACAGCAGCAAGAATCAGATGTATCGAAAAGGAATCACAAGAGTAAGTGAAACAGCCAGTCGTGGTGGTACACGGCTGTCATCCCAGCGCTTGGGAGGCTGAGGCAGGAGGATCGCTGCCAGTGTGAGGCCAGTCTGGGCTACTCTGCAAAACCCTGTGTCAAAAACAAAACAAAATTAGAAAAAGGAAGTAAAGGAAAGAAGCGAAGGCTCACTCCACAGGGTGGGAGTGGGCAGTGAGGGTTCACGCCTCTGGGGGCAGGTCCTGGGACTCTCAGGGTCCCGGGGTTCTGGGAGGATCTGCGGCAGGGTGGACAGGACTCCTGCGTGACTCGGCCCACCGGTGGGGTGGGGGCCGACCACAGAGGGATTTTAGAGGACGTGACTTGGGGTTGAAACCACAGCGCTCATGAGGCCAGACACAGGCTGGGGTCTGAACCCGTGGGTGTGTGTGTGCCTGGGGTCTCGGAGGACAGGGTGCCCCTTACCTTACCTGTCTGCTTCGTGTGATTACCCGTCTTCACTCCGCCTCCTGCCCCAGTGTGACTTCCCGATCCGTGCCGGCTGGGGAACCCTTGGTGGCCTTGCTGGGCCTGCGGCATCAGGCCCCACCCCAGCCTGCACTCCAGAACCTGGCCTGGGCCAGCTCTCGGTCCTGTTTCCCTTCTGGGGCGCCGAGGACGTGGCCCGATCCCGGGCAGGTCAGCTGGAGGTCCAGGACCCGGGACACCTGCGATCCCGCTCTGGAAGGGGGCCTTGGTTTCCCCCGCCCGCTGCTATCACAGCCGCCTTCCTCCTGGGCCACCGCGGTGCCCGGTCATCTGCCAGCTTAGCTGTGCCCTGGGCTCCCCTTCCTCAGAGGCATCTCAGAGCAACGCGGGTGCCGGAGGAGCCTGTGTCACCCCACACCCTTCGGGGAGGAAAGAGCCCCACGCCCAAGGCCCGAGGCTGAGGCAGGCCGGGGTCTGTCCCGGCAGGGACTGCAGCTCAGAGTGGGTGCCCACGTCCCCCTGTGCACCTGTGACCGGGTGGCCGGCCCCTGGCAGCGGGGCTGGCACGTGGCACACGTCCTGGAACCTGTCTGCCCTGGCATCAGGACAGCTTGGGCTGAGGCTGGCGAGCTCTGCCCCACCGTCCTGGGAGCCCCTGGGAAAGGGGGCTAAGCTGCCCCCTGGTGGGGCCGCTTCTGCCCAGGGGGTGCCAGGCAGGGGCACGAGAAACACAGCTGGGGCTGGCGGGCGCAGGGCCCCTGTCGTCCTCCACACGTGGTCCGAGGTGACATTTCTGGGTGAAAATAAACTGCTGTTTATGGTGTCACAGGCAAAGCCCATGCACCTTTACCAGATAGTCCCAGCACTCGGGAGGCTGAGGCAGGAGGACCGCCAGGAGTTTGAGGCCTGCCTGCACCACACAGCGAGACCCTGTCTCAAAAAAACAAAGAAAGTCATAAGAGTCCGGGACAGCCGGGGCGGGGAGCAGCCATGCCAGTGCTGGGGGCAGTGGCCCACCCTTCCTGGGGGGCTTGGGTGCCGCAGGGAGAGCCCGGCTGGGCCTTTGGGGTCCCGCTCTCGCCTCTGGCTTTGGTTTCCGGGCAGCAGCAGCGGAGTGGAGGAGGCCGAGCCCGCGCTGGGCCTGCCAGGGGCAGGGCCAGGCGCCTCCTCAGGCGCGGCCCGTCCTGCCCCTCAGCTGATCTACGAGGCCGGCGTGCCCTTCGTAGCCATCATGTCCACCTGGTCCGGCCTCGCCTGCCTGATCTTCCTCAACTGCGCGCTCAACTGGCCCTCGGAGCCCTTCCCCGCCCCGGAGGAGCTGGACTACAGGTGCGAGGCTGGAGGGCGCCCCCTGCTGGAGAGCGGCCGCCAGCTGCGGGCAGGAGCACCGGGCAGGAGCTCCGCGCAGGCCGCACCTGCCAGCGCCGGGCGCCGCGGGCCCGGTCCCCCTCCTTGGGCCCGGAGCAGGACCGCGCTGGCGCGAGGCAGGGCCGCGGCGTGCCAGCTGGCACGGCGATTCTCCTTTCTGGGTTTGGAGGAGGAGATCAGAACAGGCGGCCCCAGCAAGGGCATCGATGCCGCGCGGAGCCCAGACGGAGGGCGCAAAGGCCCAGGGGTCCGGGAGGGGAGCCGCTTGGGCGGGGCACGGAGGTGACTCGCACCCCGCGCCGGCCGTGTGCCCACCGGGCCCGCGCCTGGCCGAGTGCCTCGCGCTGTGCGGTGCAGGTCCCGGCGCGGGTGGCCTGGTCACCACGAATTAGTGCTTGGTGTTAGTAGGGCACGGGCAGCCCTGGCAAGGGTGGGGAGCGGACCTGGGCCGGCGCTGTCACTCGCCGGGCCCGGCCGCGCGGGTCGGAGACCGGCAGCCCAGCAGGCCGGGCGGGAGGCCGGCGGCTGAGGGTGGGCTCTGCACCGCAGGAGGAAGGTCAAGCTCGCGGGGCTGGCGCTGGACCACAAGGTCTCGGGGGACCGCTTCTACAGCCACATCTCCGCCGTGGGCCAGCGGCTGAGCCAGAAGGCGCCCAGCCTGGACCAGGGCGCCGACGCCTTCCTCGCCCCCCAGGACGGGCGGGGCGCCTCCCGCAGCCAGCCCGAGAGTGAGTGCCCGCCGCGGCCCTGGGCGGGGGTCCAGCTTGCCCTCTGTGGTCCTCACCGCGCCCGTTTGGCTGGGCGCACCGCCTGCCCACGGCGGGGACGCCCAGGTGCAAGAATCAGGTGCAGGCTCAGGTCCTGGGGCTCCAGGTGGGGTGGGCGCCCCCAGGCGCTGCTCACCCCGGGGTGGCCAGCAGGTGCAGCCGGGCCAGGGAGCTCAGGCCTGGCCTTGGTGCCCGGCGCCCCCTGCTGCCCGTGGGAGGCAGTGCGCCCACCTGCCACACCCGCCTCCGTGGAAGGTGCGCTGCCCTGCTAGCAGGTACAGGTGTCCACCCCGGAGAGAAAGCGGTGGTGAGCAAGGCAGGCCTGAGCGCCGTCACCCTCACTGCCACCCCTAGGATGGTGGCTGAGGCGGGAGGATTGCTGGGGTCCGGGAGTTCAAGACCAGCCTGGGGAGCATAGCAGACCCTGTCTCAGAGAGAGCCGTTACCACATGCAGTGTAGGGTCTGCATCCAGAGGACCCCTGAAAAGCACCGTGGAGATAGTAAAGAACTCAGCAAGCCGGACGTGGTGGTGCATGCCTGTCATTCCAGCTTCCTGGGAGGCTGAGGCAGGAGGATCTCAAGATGTAGCTCAGTGCTGGCACGGGTGGTGGTGGGGGAGGCGGGGGGGGGGGGGAGATCCGGGGCTCAGGGGCGCCCCCTGCTGTCCCCAGAGGCCGTGCCCTTCCGCAAGAGCCTGGGCTCCCCCATCTTCCTGTGGAGCCTGCTCACCATGGGCCTCACGCAGCTGCGCATCATCTTCTACATGGCAGCCATGAACAAGATGCTGGAGTTCCTGGTGACCCGGGGCCAGGAGCACAGTGAGCCGGGCGCCGGGCCGGGGCGGGGGCGGGGTGCCCTGCCGCCCGCTCACGTTGCCCTCCCCGCCCACAGAGACTGGCGAGCTGCAGCAGAGGGTGGCCGAGACAGGTAAGGCTGGTACGGGGGTGGGCCCCCGGGGCCTGGGGCTGAGCGGGGCGGGAGCCCAGCCGCGGCCCGGACCACTCTCTCCACCGCAGTGGGGTTCTACTCGTCCGTGTTCGGGGCCATGCAGCTGCTCTGCCTCGTCACCTGCCCCCTCATCGGCTACGTCATGGACTGGCGGATCAAGGACTGCGTGGACGCCCCGGCCGGAGGACCTGCCAACGGAGATGCCAGGTGACCCGTGGGCCACGCACCTCGAGGGGTTCTGGTGTCCCCCATGCCTGCACACACGGCTGTCCTTTCCCCGGACACGGGTGGCAGGGCTTCCTCCCCGTCTTACCCATGGGGAAACTGAGGCCAGAAGGGGCATTGCTCGCTTCAGGATAAGAAGAGCTAGTTGGGCGTGGTGGTGCACTCCTGTCATCCCAGCACTCAGGGGGCTGAGGCAGGAGGGTCACTGTGTGTTTGAGGCCAGCCTGAACTACATATGGAGGCTGTGTGTCAAAAGACAACAAAACCAAAATCCAACCAACCAAACAAACAAAAAATACAGGACAGCTGGTATTGTCTTACTCGAAGCTCATGTCCTCAAGGTAACGGGAAACCCTGGTAAGGGTCTCAGCCAGTCACACTGCTGGCTCCAGCCCAGACCTGAAGGTTCGTTGCAGTGCCCCCACACTGTGTCAGCTACATGCTGCTGTGTAACAAGCGTCCCCACCACCAGCAGCAGATGCTCAGGCAGGGAGGAGCTGGGAGAAGCTCGGGGTGGAGCTCCTGCCCAGCATGGGGTAGGCCCTGGGCTCCACCTCCAGTGCCTCGGAATAAAATCAAACACCGCTTCATCCCATCACACAGTTGTTGAGCTCCACAAATGCAGGAGCAACTTACCCCGGACAACTTACCAGGCGACTGTGCCTCAGTTTCCCTCTTTAGGCGGTGCCCGGCTGGAGGCCAGGGCTGTAGTGATCCTAGGTGCTAGCCTAGGGCAGAGGCCAGGGGCCTTTTATAATGGGGTCTCCACAGCAGCCCTGGCCACTTACACTGCACTCTGTCCCTCGCGGGGGACGCCGGCGCCATAGGGAGGGACCTCACAGAGGCAGGCTTCCCTGGGGAGACTCTCTCCCTTCCTCCCTCCTTGTCTTTCTCCCTCCCTCTCCCTCCCTCCCTTCCTTTCTTTCGGTTATACTGGGGATTGAACTCAACGCCTTTGCACAGAGCTACAGCCTTGGCCCTTTTTATTTTATTTTTTAATTTTTAAATTTTTTTGAGACTAGGTCTTGCTATGTAGTTCAGGCTGGCTTTAAACTCACGGTGACCCTCCTGCCTCAGCCTCTCTCCCGAGTGCTGAGATGACAGGCGTGCGTCACCGTGACCTGGCCCGCTCCAGAGATTCTGAGGTCTGGGGAGGCCTGTGAGTCTGCATTTTAAGGAGCAGCCTTGTTGACGCTCACCTAGTTGGTAGCTGAGAGCCAGCGTGGGAGGAAAGGTTTTCTGCCCACCGGCAGGGGTGCGGCCGGGAGCCAGGGGAGGTCGATACCGCTGCGGCCGTGACTTCCTCTTCTCCCCAGGAGCGGGGCGGTCCCCAAGTCCACCAGGCCACGCTACTGCAAGACTCAGAAGCTCACCAACGCCATCAGCGCCTTCACCCTGACCAACCTGCTGCTCGTGGGCTTCGGGGTCACCTGCCTCACTGACAGCTTGCCCCTGCAGGTAGCCCCCCGCCCCCGCCCCCGCCCACGCCCGCGGGGTCTGGGGAGCGTCTGAGATCTATGGCACTTCGGCCCTACTGGGGACTGAGCCTGGCCCGCGCCTGCGCACTGAGCTAGTCCGGGAACCCTTTTTTGTTGAGATCGGGTCTCTCTACCTTGCTCGGGCTGTGCTGGATGAACTTGCGTCCTCCTGCCTCAGCCTCCCGGAGTGCTGGGATGACAGAGGGGAGCCATCACCGCCAATGTCTCGGGTCTGTTGACCTCTTCACTGTCCCCTTTGGGTTTCAGTTTGTGACCTTTGTCCTGCACACCATGGTCCGCGGGTTCTTCCACTCGGCCTGCGGAGGCCTGTATGCCGCCGTGTGAGTAGGGGTCCGCGCAGGGCCCTGGCCTCCTCCTCCGCTCCCGCCCTCCTCCTCCGCTCCCGCCCTCCTCCTGAGGTGCTTCCTCAGTGGGGACCTTGTTCTCCACCCCACAACATTTTTATGTTTTTTGGGACTGCGGGTGGAGCCCGGAGCCTGGCACAGAACCCCTTCTCCAACCCCTTCAAACGCTTTTGTATATTTGAAACAGGGGCTTGCTGAGTCGCCAAGTCACCCTCGCTGGGCTGTAGCTTGGGACCCTCCTGTCTCAGCCTCCATGCGTGGCTCGCCCTGGAGATCCTGAGGTCCAGGCCCGGGCCCTGTGAGGGGGGCCGGGGGCACGGGGCTGGTGTGGGCTGATGCTCGGCTGCCTGTGCTCCTCCAGGTTCCCGTCCGGCCACTTCGGGACGCTGACCGGCCTGCAGTCTCTCAGCAGCGCCGTGTTTGCCCTCCTGCAGCAGCCGCTCTTCATGGCCATGGTGGGCCCCCTGCACGGGGAGCCCTTCTGGGTGAGAGCCAGGGGTGAGGGGGCCGGCAGGGGAGGCAGCCCACACCCGTCACCCCAGCACTCGGGGAGGCAGAGGCGGGAGGATTGCAAGCTGCAGCCCAGCTTGGGCCACTTAGTGAAGTTCTGTCTCCAGACGCAAACTGTAAAGGGCCGGGTGGCGGCAGCTCCGTGCAAAGGCCCTGGGTTCAGTCCCCAGCGCTGCAAAATGAAAACCAAAACCAGCTCCCCCAGCAGGGGTCTGGCGTTCTGTGTGTGTTTTTGAGACAGGGTCTCGCTGTGTGGTGCAGGCTGGCTTTGAACTCACTACGGAGCCCAGGCTAGTCTCGAACTCATGGTGACCCTCTTGCCTCAGCCTCCTGAGTGCTGGGATCACAGTGCACCACGGTGCCCAGCCACTTCTTCAGAGGGCCGGGCGCAGTTCCTTGCCCGAGTCACCGTGAGCCGTGTGACCCCGCAGTGCCCAAGTCCCCCAGGGCCGCTGTCCTCAGCCTGGCCGCCGTCTCCGCCCGGTCTGAGACCTCCTGTCCCCCGGCTGAGCAGGGCCGCGGGCCACCAGGGGTCAGCCCAGCGCCAGGGCCGCGCTCTGGAGGCGCTGCGTGGTGGCCCTGCCGCTGACTGCTGCCCTCCCCGCCCGCAGGTGAACCTGGGCCTGCTGCTGTGCTCGCTGCTGGGCTTCCTGCTGCCCGCCTACCTCTTCTGCTACCGCGCCCGGGTCCAGAGGGAGCTGGCCGCGCCCGGCCCGGTGGGGCTCGGTGCCCCCCCAAGGTGGCCGCCTGACGTCCACACCCAAGGGCCTCAGGCTGACAGCCAGCCGGCCGAGCCGCCCTGGGCCGCAGCGCGCGGAGCAAGGGCAGAGCTTCTGCAGGACGCTCTGCGGGCTGTGTCCCCGCCCTGACCCCGTGGGCTGGGGCGGGTTCCCGGCCTGGTGCTGTTTCTCGCGTCTCAGGGGAAATAAAAAGGGTCGGAGGGACGGGGCCGAGCCCGGGGTGTCACCGCCCTGCCCGCCCAGCCCAGCAGTCCCCCGCTTCGGGCAGAAGGTGCCCGTCCTGTCCCACACCGACATCGGGTGCCCGGGAGGCGCTAAGCCAGGGCGGGTCCGACGCCTGCCGAGGGCAGCCTTTGGGCCTCCCGGTTTATCTCAAACCTCATGCAAACACGGAGCTTTCTGTTACACTGTGTGTACGTTTGCTTTTTCACACAGGGTCTCGCTATGTAGTCCAGGCTGACCTCAAGCTGTGGGCATCCTCCTGCCTCGGCCTTCCGAGTGCTGGACGTCAGCCTGCGCCCCTGGGCTGCCCTCACCCGCGACTCCCGCTGACTCGGCGGCCGCTGGCCGGGCGTGCGGGCCCTGTCTGTCCCTGGCTGTCCCCGCGGTCTGGGACGCGTGACCAGCAGCTGGGGGGCAGAGCGTCCGGCAGGTGGCGCTGCGGGGAGAGGGGGACCCCACGACCCGGCTCCGGCACCGAGTCCGCGCCCCGCCCGCCCGGCTGGAGCCCGGCGGGACGAGGCCTTTGCTTGCTCCCACCCTGGGGCCGGGAGTGGGGAGGGCGGGCGGCGGAAGCGTGGAGCCGTGTTTGTCGCGGCGCTGCCGAGGGGAACAGATGGCTGGGAGGAGGAGGGGTGCGGGGGCCAGAGGATGAGGAACGAGGAATTTCGACGCCCCGAGTCTCCCGGGAGAAGCCCCCCTCCCGTCTCCTCCAGCGAGCGGGGCGGGCAGGCGCGGGCTCGCTGACACCCCTTTGCGCAGTGCGCAGCCCTGGCGTGCGCCCCCCGCGCTCCACCGAGGTCTGCGCGGCTGCAGGGATCGTGGCCACCGGGTCGCATGGGTTAACTGGGACGAGGGGCGGCGGGAAGTGGGCTCGACTGGGAGCGAGTTCAGGGATCGCAAATAGCAAAGAGAAAAATGTGTTAATTGGAACTTTATGCAGATGAGCCGGGACGGGGGTGGGGGGATGGGAGCAAGCAGGTCAGAAGGACAAGGCCCTGCGGGTGTCCAGGCCCGGGGCAGACTACGCCCCGGAATGGGGGACCGGTCCGGCACCCTGGTTCCCAGTGCGAGGCGTGGCGACGTCACTTCCCTCCCTGCGCCCTCCCCGGCATCTGTGCCCGGAAAGCGGCCTGGGACGTCCACTGAGACACTCGGCCTGGGACGTCCACCCCCTTCTCCTCTGCGTTCCCCTGACGCCAACCTAGCCCTGGGCCCACCCACGCTTCCCCTGCTCAGGGTGGCTTCTGGTGGGATGGCATGGGGCACGGCCACAGGGAGAGAGAGAAGAATCCCAGTGCTTGGGAGGCTGAGGCAGGAGGATCACCACGCATTAGAGGCCACCCTGGGCTTCGCATCGAGACCAGGTCTCAAAAACAAAACAAAATAGAAAAACGGATTCCTTGACGGCCAGAGAGCTGAGAGGCCGCACAGCCGGTCAGCGGGATAACAGGCCCCCCGGGAGGCCCTGGGTAGCTGTCCCGGCTGCCGGCCGCCTGCTGTCCCCAGGCCACGGGCGGGCGCGCAAGGACACGGTGCAGGGCCGGCGCCCCGCGCCGCTCGGGTTTCGGAACATCTGACGGGCCGGCCGCATTAAAGATGCATGGCAACCCGACCCGCTGGCCTGCTGGCCCCGCTGGCCC